AAGATCACATCGAGAGTATTACCAGCGCAATGCGTCGGCCCTGAGACTGAGTACCCGGCAGGGAGGGCCTGGGCCCACAATGCCTCACCCTCAGGCCCAAGCCAGGTCTCAGTAATGCATGCCAGGTCGCAGTTTTTATCCTGCATAAGATCGCAAATGATGTGGGTTTTATTTTTTATGGACCTGGCGTTGCACAGGAGCAGAGACAGGGTTTGTGGTACGACTGGGCTGACCCTCAGGCCTCTTTGGTTAGGAGAGTGGAAGGAAGGAGAGATAGATATTACGCATTGATCTTTCCTTCCGTTCCTACACAAATCCACTTTCTAGGCTGCATCTCGAACTGGTGACTCTCTTGTGGCAGGTCATTCCACAGTCTGGGGGTGGCCGAAGAAAAAGTCCTCTGGGTACAATTTCCAGTTGTAATTAGATGCTATGAGTCCCGGTTTTGGGAAAAGGAGGTATAAATGATGGGCATATACACACTGGCTGTTTACGTCGGTTTACTCTACCCTTGCATTGTCCTATCCACAAAAGTAAGGGCCAGAAGCTCAATTCGAGTGCAGACTGTCTTCACGTAGGAAGTCCAGTTCCGTACTGAACCCGGGCCATCCCTGCCTTAATCCAGTTTTTAATAACTCACCATTTGCCCTGGATAGAATCATAGAATCACAGAATCCTAGAGCTAGAAGAGACTTCAAGGGCCATCTAGTCCAACCATCCAGTCCAACCTCCTGCCATGCAGGAAGACACAATCAAAGGACTTCCGACAGATGGCCATCCAACCTCTATTTAAAGACCTCCAAAGGAGGAGACTCCACCACTCTCCGAGGAAGGAGTGTATATCCCTGTTGAACAACTCTTACCAACAAGAAGTTCTTCCTAATGTTGAGGTGGAATCTCTTTTCCTGTAGCTTGCATCCATTGTTTCAAGTCCTAGTCTCTGGAGCAGCAGAAAACAAGCTTGCCCCATCCTCAGTATGACAGCCCTTCTAAGATTTAAACAGAGCTATCATATCACCTCTCAACCTTCTCTTCTCCAGGTTAAACACCCCCAGCTCCCTAAGTCGTTCCTCATAGGGCTTGGTTTCCAGACCTTTCCCCATTTTGGTCTCTCTCCTTTGGACACACGCCAGTTTTTCAACATCCTTTTTGAACTGTGGTGCCCAGAACTGGACACAGGATTATTCCAGGTGGGGCCTGACCAAAAGAGAATAAAGTGGCACTATTACTTCCCTTGATCTAGACACTACACTCCTGTTGATGCAGCCTAGAATCGCATTGGCCATTTTAGACTCTGCGTCACACTGTTACCTATGTTCAATTTGTGGTCTACTAAAACGCCTAGAAACTTTAGAAAGAGAGCCAGCATGGCACTCTGGAGACCAGGGTTCAAATTCCAGCTCGGCCATGAAACCCACTGGTTGACCTTGGGCAAGTCACACGCTCTCAGCCCTACAGGAAGGCAATGGCAAACCCCTGAGCAAATCTTGCCAAGAAAACCCCGTGATAGGTCTGCCTCAGGGTCACCATAAATTGGAAATGACTTGAAGACACACAACAACCAAAGAAACTTTAAATAACAGGGAGCCAGGTCTATATTCTACTGATTTATTTGCACCTTAAGGCCAAATTGAAGCTCCCCCTTTGATTGAACAGATTTCAGGCTGGATCTGCACTGCAGAAATAATGCAGTTTTGACACCACTTTAACTGCCATGGTTCAATGTTATGGAATCCTGAGATTTGTATTTTTGTGAGATATTTGGCCATTGCTGTGAGAGAGCACTGACATTTGTATTCTTGTGAGATATTTAGCCATTGCTCTCAGACAGCTCTGATGCCACAAGAGACTACAAATCCCAGGATTCCTTAGCATGGAGCCGTGGCGGTTAAAGTGGTGTCAAAACTACATTATTTCTGCAGTGCAGATCCAGCCTGAGACCTGTTCAATCAAAGGAGGGGCTTCAATTTGGTCCTAAGGTGCAAATAAAATCTCTCTTGAGGGTTTCATGAAGTCTCTGCAGTTTTCCTGAGATGGTAAAACTTAAAGTTTTGCTCATCCATCTTTCTGCAGGTTCTGAATGGTTCCTCGGTACGGATTTCGTTGTGATGGAGCCCTTCATAGCCTTGGGTCCCACAGCATGAATGAAAGACCAAGACACCCCACAGCAGCTCTGCGTTGAGTGAGATGGGTCTGCTGTGATTTCTAGTGCCCCCCACATCTGGAAGAGGAAAGGGGTGCAAAGTGGACCAGGTGACCAGGTCCCGCAACTTCCTGGCAAGAGAGTGAACTTTGGGATTCGAAACACAGAAGAATGACGCAGGTAGTCCAGCCTCAGGTAGGTAAATGCACAAGATGGAAAGAATTATCGAAAATGGTCCCCCCCCCCCCAAAATGGCCAGAAAATGTCTTTTTCGGGTGTCAGGGAACCCTAACCAGGAGAATCCTGGAATGAAAATTACGGTACCTTTACAGTGTAGGACTTGGTTGGTGCAAAATTTACATGAGGTTTTAACGCACAGAAAATGGAATTTTCTTATCTTTCTTATCAATAGCATTTTCTGTGCAGGAAATAGCATTTTCCGTGCAGAAAACATAATTTTCGGTTCAAGAAACAGCCTTTTTTTTTTGTCCAGGAAACAGCACTTTCTGTGTAGAAAATATAATTTTCTCTGCAGGAAACAGCCTTTTCTGTACAGGAAATATTTTCTATGCAGGAAATATCATTTTGTGTGCAAGAAACAGCATTTTCTGTGCAGGAAATATCATTTTCCATGCAGAAAACATAATTTTTGGTTCAAGAAACA